GCAAAAACATTATATTTAATAATAGGTGTGCAAGTCAAGGTATACTTTGGAGTGGAGACATTTTTTTTCTAGGATTGGAGACTTAGAGATAATTCAATGTGGCTTTTATCTGGTACCTTAATTCAATAATTGGTAACAAGGGATGGAGAGATTGAGGAGGTTGTTACCTATAGAATTAGAGTAGATGGGAAAAAGGGAGAGATGCATGTTATAGGTGAATATCATTTGGATTAAATCTTCAAGGCTCCGTTCACTTTTCGGTAAGTTATTTACCCATGTTTTTTTATTTCTCATGTAAATAAAGCAATGGCCATTTTAACTATAAAAATCTATTATTAAAAGGGACATTTTTGTCTAATTCAAGTGGTGGGCAACTTTTCCCCTAGGTGGGAAAGTTATTTATCCACCTAGGAAATGGGTATCACTTACCCGGATAAGTGGTACCTAGGGAAATAAACTTTCCCTGGTCCCTACATAAATCTGAAAAAAGAACATGGGATTCTTAGTCAATGGGAACCAAAATCCCATTGACCAACTTTCCCCCCTCTCAAAATCTGAAAAAAGAACACCCCCTAAAAGGAAAATTGTGTCAGTTGTAAGCCATAAAAAAGTTTAAGGTACAAATTCCATTGTAGATTTTTATACATTGTTTGCTGCAATTGACTTTGGAAAAAAAAATAAAGAGAAACTGAAAAAGCGTAAGGAGTTCTTAAATCTTGTTAGAAAGAAAGGTATACAGGGTTGTTCTAAATTACAGATTATTTAAAGCTGGCGTTATTTTCAATTGTATTTCTTAATCTCTTAAATCTGTTCCTAAGATTCCTTAAGTTCTTTTGCCCATGTATATTATTTTGTTTTTTAAAAACAATTATAACTGCAACATTGGCAAAAACAATATTAGTTTGTCGATATGTCTTGTTTTGTTTTAAAAAGGGGAAATCTCTTAAACTACCCTTACTTTTTAGGAAATTGACTAAAACTTTTCTTACTGTTTACAAAATCCCTTTAGTAAGTTTAGGTTTTATGACAATTGACATCATTGTCAAACATTGATGGAAAATATTGAAATATCTATTTTACCCCTTATTATTCATCAAATTTCAAATATATATAATGCCTTTTACAATAACAAAACTAAATCAAAACCCTTGAAATTTCACATAAGCTTTTAAAATCAGACCTTAAATCCATGTTCAAATCCATAGTCTATTTAGAGACAACTCATAGCAGGAAAAAACAAATTACCTTTTCCAATCTAGGATCCAAACAAAAATGCACTTTGATCTGGATCTTGAATCAGGACCAAGGGGGGACAACCTAAGTCCAACTATTAAAGCCTAAACTTGCATTCAAAACTTTGAAGGTTATAAAGAGTGTCAAAGTTAACATTAGAAAACAAAGAGTGGAAGAAAACAAATCTTCCAATTAAACCATTTTTAGTAAATTGACAAATGAAGCATGAGGAAATCCTACCTGTTGGTCCAAATCTGGAGCTGAAGGCAACTTGGTAACTTCTGAGGTCAAGTGATGGAGGGTCCCACCTGCAAGGTGTGGAAAGATGCCAAGGCCCTGGAAGTGTTTCCATGGGCAAGGATTCTGACGGTTAAGTTAGCCAGGGACTGATAAAATGCCGAGGTCACAACAAGAGAGGAAGGAAAGAGAATTCAAGTGTGTGTGTCCATACCCTAGGCTTTGGTGCCCTCGGGAGCCTTGTAATGCGCAGTCAGTAACCATCTCGTGAATGCAGTTGTTATAGGGACGACGGCCAAGCGCAAGCGTTACCCCATCATAAATATGCTGGGAGAGAATTCAGCCAAGATTGTAATGCCTGTAATAAATGCTCCTAGCTTGGTCACCAAAGTGCATAACCTGAAAAAAAGAGAGAAAAGATAGAAAAGAAAAGAACATGTATAAGCTCTTCACGGGGCCATAAAGATCTAGCTACATCCATCATAATCGATGCTTATATGTGAGCATAGTATGAAGATGAGGGATTGATTGCTAGTGTTGAGGAGATTGTTTTCAAACCTAAAGATAGGTGAAAGATAGAGACTTGTACAATTACATGTTTTGAATCTTTGGTCAATGGCATTCTGTCCTAGTGGGACGGGATGGATCTACACCTGGGTTTGGAAGCTTTCAAGAAGGTTGAGGTTAAAGCAACAATTATGACGGAAGCAACCAGACCCTCCATAAGTCATCCCTGTATTTGATAGGTATTTAACTCCTATTTGTACCTTTACTGTGTAAACCAAATTGTATCGAAAATGAAGAAAACAATGGACGTTTGGTTATAAAGCTAAGGAAGGTCAGACCTTTCACTTATAGAAGATTGTCCATTTCTCTTGCTCGCATTGCATTGAATAGAGCAATTCTTGGATTTCTCTAAGAAGTCCGTTTCCTTGGAGGATGTCTTGCAGCTAGCCTTGTGCTGTTGTTGTCTCAACTCATTGACAATTGCTGCTGCGATCCGTTCATCATCTTCGGGAGCTGATCCTTCCTGTGATTCTGCTTTTCTTTCCATTTCCATGTTTTCTCTAATTTCTAAATAATATTGAATTAGATAAAAGAAAAACCTTTTTGAAAAGCAATAGGACTCCAACGAACATTAAAAAAATCTCCTACAAATCTGCTGATGTGCCCACGAATTTAAGATTGACCCATTCCTAGTCCGTTGGCGTGTCTTTTTGGGAAGATTTCCGGTAATTCTGACATGCAAAAGACACATTGAGCTTTTGCATGAAAATCTGAGCAGTCCGAAGCACGTTTGGCAGATGCATGTCTTTTTGTGTCTTTCAGAAAAAAACGCAAAAGACACGAAAAGCTTCATTTGA